ACTGCTAAGAGCCAGGGGAATCCATTCGTGGAATTATTCGGTTTTTGCCACTTAACTGAATAGACAGGCAAAACCACCCAAACTCCTGGAACTATTTTGGGCAGCCACCTCGCGGTTAACCGGTCACAAAAGACTTCCATACTTTTTGAGAACCCCTGAACCGATCTGGGTGAAATTTCTGGTGAGATCGGGGCTATCAGGGGACATATTCAGGCAGCCCACCAGACCCGGAGCAACACCAATTGACGGCGAAGGAACGGTGGCGATTAGGTGACTTAATATTTAAGGGGATATTTCAGATGACGGTCCTGAACCGTCATTGGTGCTCGGGGGGTTAAAAGTGAACATAACATTTAACCACACCCCTGCAACCAAACGCAAACATTACATACAAACACCCACCTGTATTAAAACATTAAAACTATACACAAGCACCTCTTCAAACACCAACACTGTACATTACACTATAGCACCAGTAAATGTCGCAACGCGGTACAGATATACAACCTAGAAATATTGACTTGTGGTGCCTTGGAAAAATATTGACATATTAAGGGTGCATTGAACCTAAAAAGTTTGGGAACCACTGATATAGCATTTACTATCGTGAAAATTTTAACAATAAATTACCATAGCACTTACAAGAAAACAATGATAGAATTAACCTGTTCAGTGCTACAGTCTAGAGAAGTACCTGAAAGGCACTTCAAAATACATTTTTAAAAATTCATTAAACAAAAAGAAATGTAAAGAATCCTGAACCCATTCCTTCACCCCATGGGGTGAGAGATAATTTAAATGGAGCATAGGAGACACCCTGAGGCTTATGAGACTGAGTTCTGTAAATTTGCACCATGTGAAGTTACCCCATAAGGGTTAACCCCTAAATTAAAGCAGCCCAGAAAATGCCCAGTTTCCAGGACCCATAATTTGACTGCCCAAGATCGCTAGGCACCCCCCAAAAAAAGTTAATGCCTCATCCTCCCTTTTGGGCATTCCAAGCTAGGTCCTTCTGTTAAAACGTGACAAAGAAGATAACTAGCTCAGAAAAATCTAAAACATAATCCTTGAAAAGCGTGTTAGTAGCGAAACGCGCGTGGGGGATCACGACTGTGTGCTATACCATTATATGGATAGTGGATCGTTCTTTTCAGTATTTTGATCATGTCTTGATCATCTAGCACAGTATGTATTGGTTTTAGTCAAACCCTATGTTGGCTATTCTTTTGCTGATTATTTTAAGGCTGGTTGAGCTATATCTTCAGAATAGGGGCCCCCAAATGTTCAGAGTTAAGGCATTTCTAAATCTTCTCATATAATTATTATTTTGATTATTATTAATTATTGAGGCTTAGTTATTTGATATTGTTATCTTTTGATATCTGAACATTATTTATAATATAGATTTTTAAAATAATTATCACAATTTATTTAGCCTGCAAACAATTTAACTAATACATCCCTTTTTTGGCTACTTTAGCTTTTCAGTGGGTTTTTTTTTTTGTCACCTAAACTTTGTTATTTTGTTTTCTATGTAGTCTAAGTACATATAAAGCAACTTTAAACATTTACACTTTGAACATTTGTGTTTCACTATCTTTCCTGATATTTATTGTTGTATCTTTCCTGATATTTATTGTGGTATCTTTCCTGATACTTATTGTGGTATCTTTCCTGATATTTATTGTTGTATCTTTCCTGATATTTATTGTGGTATCTTTCCTGATACTTATTGTGGTATCTTTCCTGATACTTATTGTGGTATCTTTTCTGATACTTATTGTGGTATCTTTCCTGATATTTATTGTTGTATATTTCCTGATACTTATTGTGGTATCTTTCCTGATATTTATTGTTGTATCTTTCCTGATATTTATTGTTGTATATTTTCTGATACTTATTGTTTTATCTTTCCTGATACTTATTGCTCTATCTTTCCTGATACTTATTGTGGTATCTTTCCTGATACTTATTGTTGTATCTTTCCTGATATTTATTGTGGTATCTTTCCTGATACTTATTGTGGTATCTTTCCTGATACTTATTGTGGTATCTTTTCTGATACTTATTGTGGTATCTTTCCTGATATTTATTGTTGTATATTTCCTGATACTTATTGTGGTATCTTTCCTGATATTTATTGTTGTATCTTTCCTGATATTTATTGTTGTATCTTTTTTGATACTTATTGTGGTATCTTTCCTGATACTTATTGTGGTATCTTTCCTGATACTTATTGTGGTATCTTTTCTGATACTTATTGTGGTATCTTTCCTGATATTTATTGTTGTATATTTCCTGATATTTATTGTTGTATCTTTCCTGATATTTATTGTGGTATCTTTCCTGATATTTATTGTTGTATCTTTTCTGATACTTATTGTGGTATCTTTCCTGATACTTATTGTGGTATCTTTTCTGATACTTATTGTGGTATCTTTCCTGATATTTATTGTTGTATATTTCCTGATATTTATTGTTGTATATTTCCTGATACTTATTGTTGTATCTTTCCTGATACTTATTGTTGTATATTTCCTGATATTTATTGTTGTATATTTCCTGATACTTATTGTTGTATCTTTCCTGATACTTATTGTGGTATCTTTCCTGATATTTATTGTGGTATCTTTCCTGATACTTATTGTGGTATCTTTCCTGATATTTATTGTGGTATCTTTCCTGATACTTATTGTGGTATCTTTCCTGATACTTATTGTGGTATCTTTCCCGATACTTATTGTGGTATCTTTCCTGATACTTATTGTTGTATCTTTCCTGATATTTATTGTTGTATCTTTCCTGATATTTATTGTTGTATATTTCCTGATATTTATTGCTATATCTTTCCTGATACTTATTGTTGTATCTTTTCTGATATTTATTGTGGTATCTTTTCTGATACTTATTGTGGTATCTTTCCTGATACTTATTGTTGTATCTTTCCTGATATTTATTGTGGTATCTTTCCAGATATTTATTGCTATATCTTTCCTGATACTTATTGTTGTATCTTTCCTGATATTTATTGTGGTATCTTTCCTGATATTTATTGCTATATCTTTCCTGATACTTATTGTTGTATCTTTCCTAATATTTATTGTGGTATCTTTCCTGATATTTATTGTTGTATCTTTCCTAATATTTATTGTGGTATCTTTCCTGATATTTATTGTGGTATCTTTTCTGATACTTATTGTTGTATCTTTCCTGATACTTATTGTTGTATCTTTCCTGATACTTTTGGAGTATATTCTCTGCATGTTATTTGATTATAGGATTCCAATTGAGATTTTATAATTATTTATACTCCCTTTTTGACTTAGGTAACATGCTTCCAAAATGGAAGCTCATATCCTTTCTCTATGTAACTGTATGTACTGTAACTTAAGTCAATTTGGACATAAGTGTTTCCTTTATAACTCTTTATCTATTTTTTTGTACTATAATGTACTTTTTTGGTTTATTTTGTTTTATTATATATATATATCATAAAGGTAATGTTTTATATTTTCCTGTGCTGGGTATTGGGTCTATCTTCTTTCATTTTTGTGTTATTTTAATATCTGGGTTATCCCCCTCTTTTTAGTATCCCAGTTTGACACACCTTTCCTGATCCTACTTTTTAAATTGAATTACTTTTTAAATTTCCAATTTACCAGTAATCCAGCGCCCCCATCAGAAAATCTCCCAGCGCTGATCTCCATGCCCCATCTGACATCATCAAGGGTCTTGCATGGTCCAACGCTTCTCACAGAGCCAGAGAGGGTGGATGAGTGATGAGAACAAGAGGTGGAGGGAATTAGGCAGGAGCAGTTTTTAAAAAAAACAACTGAGGATATAGGAAGGTGGGGAGGACTGCAGTAAAGGGGGGAGAGAAGACACAAGCTTTCTCTTGTAGGCTTTGCCTGCAATGAAGGAGATTATTACGTCTGTTGCCAGTGCACTGACGACACATGTAGACTATGCACAGATTTCATATTAGGCAGCCCGCGAGTGTAACTAGCCCTCAGCACAAAAGATAATATAGCTCTTAATGTGCAGTGCCTCAAACAGAAATGCAGCAAATACTGACTCCTACAACCATAACTACTTCAAATCCGTGAATTAATTTATGTTGAAATCTGTACTTTTTTTTAAAATGAGGACATACTCTTTGCACATAAAGCACTTCAGCAAGCTGAATTGATTTAGGGGTCTGGAGTATCCCTTTTAACAAGCTACAGAATGCTGGAAAATTACGTGAATTCTAAATATAAAGTTATATGTTTTGTTTTCAGATTCTAAAGGAACGTGCCACCAATCCAGCACTCAGCATATAACGAATGTGCTAAAACGGAGACAGGCTACACCCATCACTAGTGCTGTTAGACCAACAATGTTATTAAAACAAGAAGAACATACAACGTTCCGTCGTCCCTAACTTATTGATGTATCCTGGATTGTGCTGCAATGACAACCACGAAGATAACCACATGGATTATGTTAACAAACTAAATTTAAAAAAAAGGTGGAGATCAAACTCCTTATTGAAGAACCTTTGCCAAATGGTATCTGGTGTATTTATTCCAGATTTCTATACTTTATTCTAGCATTTTTTCGGTGGTGGTTTGTCATCTGTGACCATAATTGTCAGATAGAATGGTCACAGACTCACAGGCAATAACATGCCCTGGAATAGTGAGATCAATTGAATCTATACTGATATTTTACTTGGGACATGAAGTGTGTGACTGGGTTATACATAACAGAATAAACAGAACGCATATAGACTGACATTAGTAACCACTTACATTCCAATGCATTGTGAAATATATGGCAAACCACGTGTGATTTTACTGCTTATTTCTAAATGTGAGTAATTGCTTTTCATGCATTTTACACAGGTTTTATCTTTGTTCCCCGACACCCCCTCCCCCAATAATCGTTCCTCATGAAATCTATTATTAACCCCTATGACGGTAGTCACCATCACCTGGAGTTTCCTACGGACACAACCCCTTCAACCACAAACGTTTGTATCAACATTTTTACTTTTATTCTACTTTGAGATACAAAATGTAGCCACTCTCCTTCATTTATACTCCAAGTATGATTACCAGCCTATAGAGGAACAAATGTTTCTGCCAGGAAGTTATTCCACTCATTTTATGTTGACGTGGATGCTAAAAATGTCAGCTTACCCTCTCCTTCCAAGCAGTAAAGGAAGTTTCAATGGGTGATACCATTCTAGTCAGGTAAGGGGGGTCAATGAATACACTCTACCATTTTACTGTTAGCGTTACGTTAGCATTCCAGAGGTGGATGAAGATTGCTATAGCTCTTTTTAAATACCAGTCTTTTAGAAATATATGATTTTACTGTGTGGACATTATGCTCAACTACAGACATTCTTTTAACATTCTGTCTTCGTTATCAACACATTATCAACACATTGTACTGCTTGTAATGCTTTTAGGTTCCTTACAAATAATACCTATACGCAAGCTAATTGTATTTATCTATTTTATCACGGATGCTGTATGTGAGAAAACTTGTAGTTTTGCTGTTATTCTGCCATTTCAGACACTGTTAAATATTTAATGACACTGTATTTTGCTCTATAAAGTTATACAGCTTTTCACTCTCCAAAAATATCTATTAAAATAACGAATTTATGAAAAATTGTGTGCATTTCAATCATTATAGTTGACACATTTGTCTGAAAAGCAATATTTACTGAAAATTGCTTCAAATCCATGTTTTCAAATAAAAAGTGCTCACTAGTAAAGGATTAAAACCAATCTATCAAATAATTACTTTTATCAATATCATAAATACGTTTGAGATTATTATAATTTGATTCATTATACCATAAATCACACTATCTGAGAGGGTTAATATTAACGATTTTGTAATTATTATGAATTCTCAACTTAACTCACAAATACTGTGGTATGTTTGGGCTTACCATTGGATGGTTCTTGGTTCTTGGGCGATCTGTGGTATGTTTGGTAGAGTTATAGGTTATTCACTAGTTAGAAATTTACTAGGAATTCAAAGTGAAACAAAGTATATGGATGGAAGGATGGATGGATGGATGGAGGGATGGATGGGTGGATTGAAGAAGGGATGGATGGGTGGGTGGGTGGATGGATGGATGGAAGGATGGGTGGGTGGATAGATGGATGGAAGGAAGGATGGATGGAAGGATGGATGGATGGTAGGATGGAAGGATAGATGGGTGGATGGGTGGGTGGGTGGAGGGATGGGTGGGTGGATGGATGGATTGAAGAAGGGATGGATGGGTGGATGGATGGGTGGGTGGATGGGTGGGTGGATAGATGGATGGAAGGAAGGATGGATGGAAGGACAGGTGGATAGATGGAAGGATGGATGGATGGATGGATGGATGGATGGATGGATGATGGAAGGATGGATGGAAGGATGGATGGATGGATGGATGGAAGGATGGATGGATGGATGGATGGATGGATGGAGAAGGATGGAAGGATGGATGGATGGATGGATGGATGGAAGGATGGATGGATTGGATGGATGGATGGAAGGATGGATGGATGATGGATGGATGGATGAATGGATGAAGGATGGAGTTTGGAAGGATGGATGGATGATGGATGGATGGAAGGATGGATGGAAGGATGGATGGATGGATGGATGGATGGAAGGATGGATGGATGGATGGATGGATGGATGATGAAGGATGGATGGATGGTAGGATGGATGGAAGGATGGATGGAAGGATGGATGGATGGATGGATGGATGGATGGATGATGGAAGGATGGATGGATGGATGGATGATGGAAGGATGGATGGAAGCTGATGGATGGAAGGATGGATGAAGGATGGATGGATGGATGGATGGATGGAAGGATGGATGGAAGGATGGATGGATGGATGGATGGATGATGGATGATGAAGGATGGATGGATGGATGGATTGATGGATGGAAGGATGGATGGAAGGATGGATGGATGGATGGATGGATGATGGAAGGATGGATGGATGGATGGATGGATGATGGAAGGATGGATGGATGGTAGGATGGATGGAAGGATGGATGGAAGGATGGGTGGATGGATAGATGGATGGAAGGAAGGATGGATGAAAGGACAGATGGATGGATGGATGGATGTAAGGATGGATGCTAGGATGGATGGATGGATGATGGAAGGATGGATGGATGGTAGGATGGATGGAAGGATGGATGGAAGGATGGGTGGATGGATAGATGGATGGAAGGAAGGATGGATGAAAGGACAGGTGGATAGATGGAAGGATGGATGGATGGTAGGATGGATGGATGGATGGATGGAAGGATGGAAGGATGGATGGATGGTAGGATGGATGGTAGGATGGATGGATGAGTGAGTACTCAGGCAGACAGACAGATTGTCACTAGTACTGATGTCAGTGAATAGTCTGGCCATCTTTAAAGTGCATGTGACAAAGACAGCTAAAGTTCAAAATGAAAACTTTAAAGTTAAAAGCTAGAATAAATGGTGTGTGGCCGAGTTGGAACTTATTAAAATAATCTATCGGAATAATTTACTAAAGTGAGAATTGTTGACAATTCAAAGTGAAATTTAAGGAACTAAATTAGTAAGTGTAATTTGTACTAATTGCACACACAGGGTTATTCACAAAACTGAGAATTGTCAGTAATTCAAAGTAAATGAAAGGTATACATTTAAGGTAAAAGTAGCCAAACTGGAAGTAAAACTGAATTTTTCCAGTTTGGCTACTTTTACCTTAAATTTATACCTTTCATTTACTTTGAATTACTGACAATTCTCAGTTTTGTGAATAACCCTGTTTGTGCAATTAGTACAAATTGTTATGTGCAAGTTGCAGCAGATAGGGGTTTGTAATGGATTAGTATTAGCTTCAACCCAAATCCCACCCAAACACCAATAATTACAGTCACTCCAGCACTCCTGAATCCTAGCCTCTGCTTCTGTACCTGTCAGCTGGGCAGGTATTTACACAGAAACAGTAACTGCCCAGCACACAGCTCTAGACAGGAGTTACCATAGCTGAGAACATAGAAACATAGAATGTGACGGCAGATAAGAACCATTCGGCCCATCTAGTCTGCCCAATTTTCTAAATACTTTCATTAGTCCCTGGCCTTATCTTATAGTTATTATAGCCTTATGCCTATCCCACACATGCTTAAACTGTGTCAGGTTTTCTGGGGGCTAAAAGACCAAAGGAGGGTGCGCATTCCAATTTTTTTTAACTTGAGTGCGTGATGACCAGCTGTGAAAATTCCATGTCCCAATGGGGATATTGCTGAAGCCGGTCAATGTAATTTACCCCCATCAAACCATATATTTTTGAAAAGCAGGCAACCCAAGGTATTCAGTATGGGGTATGTCCAGTCTTTTTTAGTAGCCACAAACACTGGCCAAAGTTAGCATTTATATTTGTTTGTGTGTTAAAAATGCAAAAAACAATTATGAATGCTAACTTTGGCCAGTGTTTGTGACTAAGTGGCTACTAAAAAAGACTGAACATACTCCATTTGCAATACCCTGGGTTGTCTTCTTTTGTTTTGAATATTTTTATTGTGTGCACAATATAAAGTCATACATCAAATGGGTTTGTAGTAAGGCAAGTGATTGCCCACGCAGGGGCTCAGATATCAGTTTAACATTGCTCATACATTTAGTTGCCTGCGTAGAAGCTGATTTGTCCTAACCTGAGTTTTTGTTCACTGGTGGTCGCTTTGTGTTGTATGCTCTTATGTACCGTGTTGCCTTATTGGTTCAGTTATTGCGTTAGGTAAGTGTTTCATGTTAAGTGGTGTATGCCAGTGCTGCGTGTTTGCTAGTTGGTGAATGCACGTTGTCTCTCCTGTAGAGGCATATTAAACAGCATGCTAAGTAGTGTCAGGCATGAAGCAACATTCTAAGTTACACATACTCTTTCAATTTTCAGCATGAGGAGCATATTTGTTTGCAGACTGCTGCCTTAGTAGATAACAGGAGTACACATTGTCTCCTGTGTAGAGACATATTAATCAGCTTGCTAAGTATAGTCAGGCATTACGCAACCATCTAAGGTACAAAAACTTTTTCAATTTTCAGCATTTGGAGCATATTTGTTTGCAGTCTGCTGCCTTAGTATGTAACAGAGCTATTTAGATATTAGGTTTACAGTAATACGTGTGAGTTAATCAGCTAGTTGATTAGAGTCAGACTTTTAGTAACAATCTAAGCTACAATAACTTTTTCAACTGTCAGCATAGGGAGCATCATTTACCCAATGTAGATACGGACTGAATGCAGCTGTTAAGGCATTAGTGTGAGCTATCCCTTTTCGCATCGAAAAAACATTAACTATGAACATGAATAAAAGCCCCTAAGCAATCTTTATGTATAACTAAGCTTATGTGAGGGACTTCTCAAGTGTCCAGAATTGCATATGAGTATGTTTATAGGAGTAGTCCCGGAAGTTTCAGCGGTGTATGTTGGGCTGAATTATAGAGTGGTAAGCTATCTGCATACCGGGTCGGTGAGGTCCTTTAGGACGCCAGTCGTCCATCTGTCCTCCTCCAGGACTCAGTCCCCTGCGGAGCGCTCCATGATGCCGTGGGCACTCGGGGTCCAGGCCAGGCCCTGAGACCCCCCACAAAAGTCCCAGTACCCGCTGTCCCCTGCACCTCCCCCGCATCACTTGCGCTGCCCGGTGACACCTGGTCCCACGCGTCTCACCCAGTACAGGCCTCACACTTAGAGCCGATGCGCCTCCTCCCTCGCGGCCACCGGTATACCGGAGGGGTTTAGTGCCTTCTGGCCCCACAGGGCTCACTGCGCCAGGGACATCCTTCTCCGGGCCACCCAGAAACCCAGATGCAGGGCCCAGTATCGTCACCAGGGGGCAGGTCGTCTGGGGTGTCCGTCCGTGAGCCGGCAGCCTTCTGGGCCCCTCGTACCTCATACAGAAGCTGCCACTCAGATGTAGGTAGATTTTTCCGTGCTCGTCTTTCCGTCCGCCCTTATCTGCTGGCGGGCTATTCCTCCGTTGTTCATGCAGTGAGCAGCCTCCGCTTATTCGGGGTCTGTGTGCTCCCTTCCTCGGGCTCTCCCTCCGTGTAGTTGACAGTTGCTGCTGGCTTGCTGCTGCACACACAGCTTTAGCCAGTGTAGGCAGGTATTGCACACCCCACGCAGGGACTCCCGTCGTGGTATGGGTCACCGCCATGCGGCCGGAATAACCCCCACCGGCCGGGGGGGGGGGCAGGGCCGCGCCCCGGGCCGGGGGTGCTGATGGGACCGTCCATGCGGTTTCTCTCCAGCATATGTGTTTCGGGTCCGCGGCCCTCTGTAATCACAGGCCGCGTGTTGTGGCCGCGGTCAGGTGCTCTGCCGCGTGTA